CATTCATCCAGCTGCCTCCTCCACTGCTTTCCAAACAGAACTCGGAGCTGAACTCCCCCAGGAAGGCTTCCAAGATTAAACGAGGCCCCTTCCTTCCAGGACAAAAGGAAGCTCCACAGAGCTCCTTCTGAGTTGCCTGGGGCTAACAGTGAATTTCAAAGCTGAAATTCTGTTCTTAGAAATGGGGAGCACAGGAATGAAACTGTGGAATACCAAATATGCTGCTTCTGGGGAAAAGTAAGATTCTGCAGTTAGATGCCAGTCCCTCCTCCAGACAGAGAAGGGTACCCCGCTTCTGTGCAAGCCTCCTGGGCCACTTGCCTCCTCTGCAAACAGAAAAGCCTTCTCCAAGAGTGTACCCCTCAGCAACCAGCTTCTGCCTCTTATCAGAAAGAACAGTGAAACGTTCTGGTTCAAGAAAGGCTATAGTTTGGAGATCAAAGTGAAGCCAGTCCTTGGAACGCCACAGAGCTAAGAGTTCAAACACTTGCTCTGTCACTTATGTATGGTTTAACCTTGGGCAGCAGTGTCTGCTGTCTAAGCATCAGCATGTCCTCATTTGCAAAATAAGATACTTCCTTAGTCCTACCTTCAAAGGATAAAGGAAATGATGGTGAAGATGCCCTCCAGGTCACATGGGAAAGAGTCACTCAGCAACGACAGCATGGCTGGCAGTGTGTGTTACTCTTCCCTCAGCTTGTCTCTGGTTGTGGTCCGAGGAGAAGTCTCATTTATTGGCACCACCTCCCCTTTTGCAGTCATGCTGGTCACAGTGTTTATTTAAAGCAGACGTTTTGTCACAAGCGTGAAAGATCAATAAGCATGATGTTCTGAAACTGGGGATTCAGGGATGCTAACCCAGCTGCCTTCCAGCGTCTCTAAGTGCTTACTGTGAGTCAGCCTCTCTTTCAGCTAGCCGCTGCTATGTAAAACCCAGCCTAATGCTTAACAGTTTAGATAATGAGAAAGTCTTATCTTTTTCTCAGTTCCCTGTGAAGTCTATGCTTGTCTGGGCTATTCTCTCCCTGGCATTGGTCAGGATCGTGAATGTAGCTGTTTCTTTCATGGGAGCTGGACTAGATTTACTCATGCCTGGTGCTCCATCAGGGATGACTAGAACCACCCTGTCTGGCTGGGCCATTCTTTGTCCACAGTTGGTGGGTGGTTGGAGTCTTTATTCTCTGGAGGCTAGAGCCCAGGAGCATTCCCAAAGAAGCTGCAGAGACCTATTAAAATTAAAACAGCAAGTTACACATCCTAAATTCTACTTTTTTGATGAGTTGTACAGCATCTGTGTACAGAGGGGGCAGGGGTGATGATCATCTTTGCAAACCATCTACCATTCTCTTAGTCCAGCATCTCTCTCAGTCTCCGTACTGCAATGCTACCCTTGGCTCCCATCTGTTAACCTGGCTTTGTGTGTTTTTTTTTCTTCCATTTTTGGAGCTCATGGTCCTTGGTGCTCCCATCAGCCTCTTCACCCTGGCTCCCTGTTTTGGACAGAGTAATCATGGCTATTCTTCTAAGCATGCGATCCCGAATTGGTGCTCCGCAGCCTGTGCTCGAAGGAAACATGTCGATCTGATAATTCTCAAGAGTATGATGAGATGACGTCAGAGACAGCAAAGACGGTATGGAACAGCTCACATGAGAAGGCAGTGGAACGCAGCACCTGCTTGGTGTGTTTTCTACCTTCTGGTCTAACGGGAAAATCTGCATATCTGCAGCAACAAGGTGTCAGGCCAATGATCCTGTCTTCCTGAGACACAGCCTGTTATCTTACCCTGGGAAGAAAATAGACTCTCATTCAAAGGTTCAAGACACTTAGTGATCCACCCCACCTGACTCCAACCCACTCCCCCCCACCATATGGAGAGAGGTTAGAGCTTTAGGTTACCACCTAATTGGGCTCTCTTCTTCCACTCCGCAGGAAAGTAAGGAATTCCTGTCACCTAAAGCTCCTTTCTATTTGTTTCCTACTGAACATATTGCTCAGTGATTTCCTGAGTTTGATAAGGGGATATTGGTAACCATTACAATAAAAATAACAAATAATTAAACAATAGCATTTATTGTGTACTTCCTATTACCAGGCCCAGTATTAAGTGTTTCCTCTGCATTATTATTTAAAAATTGTGTATTCCCAGTAATTTACTAAGTTCACAAGTTCACTGCCAGGAAATGGCAACACTGGCTTCAAGCCCAAATTAGGCTAATCTTCGAGACAATTCTTTTCCTGCTAGACTAAACAGAAAGAGATGGCTCATCTAGAAGTCTCCTGACCACTGCACAATGACACTCCAGCTCCAGACAGACTGTATCTTAGCTACTTTTGCAGTCAGCATACCCAGGAACCAAACACAGCATGGCTCCAGTCCCAAATATAGTGTGGAAACAGTGCAGGGTCTCCGAAATAATGTTTGCCATGGGAGCTCAGAGAAGCAATAGAAGGAGCAACGTGGGACAGATGCTTTGGTGATACAGGTTTCAGGTGCATTTCTCAGGCACAGGAGCGACCTAGTGTTCCTACTTCGGTCGTCTTGGCAGCTTGTCCCCTCCAGAAGCAGAGGACAGGACAAGTTATTTTCCAAGCCTGTCCATGGGGTTTGCAATGCTCCCTCGTTAGCTTTCCTGGAGCGTCAGGTATTGCAGAGTCAGGAATTCAGGGATGAAACTGGGATTGGAATTTAATATGGCTGCAATTTTGGTCTACCACCGCTTCCTGAACCAGCAGAGTCTTCTCTGTAACCCCGAGTCTACCATTTGTTGCCATGCGATTCATACAAACTGCTTGCCTTTGACTATTACCAGCCAGGCTGTGATGTAGACCTAGCTAGCATTACCCCTAATCCACATGGAGATACTTCTGCTTAGGTCGACAATGACACTTAAGTTTCCGGTTATATTTCTTTTGTTTAGGGAGGATCTCTCAGTCTAAAGAAGAGTAACAAATGAATTGGTGCTAACCGAGATGGTAGTCTTCTTGGGGTCCTGTCTATGTCACCGATAGTACGTCTTCTTTGTCTCCTAAATATTTATTGTCAGATGTAGTATTTATATAGGGAGTGACTTAAGAATGTACAGTTTGCTAGATATGGTGAGACAGATGCTGTAATCCCAGCATTCAGGAGGCTGACAGGAGGATTGTGAGTTTAAGGCTAGCATGGGCATCATAGGGAGACCTGATCTCAAAAAGCAAAACAAAATGAAACAGAAGGACATAGCAATTAATTATCAGAAAGCAGCCACCCGCAGAATCATCACCTCATCTCTCCAAGATGGACCAGTGATGCAATAGCCTCTTGGGCTTACTGTAAGTCACTTTCTTCTTGGTCCTCCAGGGGTGACAGCTAGTCAAATCTCTATGATAATCATTTACTTGCATATCTTAAATTATGACGTAATCAGGCATCTCCAAATTCTATAATATTTAAGAGTAGCACAAAATGAAGTCACACAGTACGCTTGTGACGCTTATGAAATCCATACATGCTATGACGGCAATTCATTCATTTTCATTGCTACATTAGAGTCTTTTCTGTGAGTGTGGTGTGCATTGTTTAACCATCATGCTATTGATGGACGTTTGGGTTAGTTCCAGGATGGAGCTATTGCAAACACAGCTGCTTGAACCATTATTGAGCAGGACTCGTGGTGTCCATGTGGAGTTCCTGAGTAATAGAGTATATGTCTGATTAGCTTTAGTAGAAGTGCCAAACTATTCTGCGGGAAGATTATACCACTTTTCACCCCTGCCAGTCCTGTATGAGGGTCCTTTGACTACACACTTTTGCCAGTATTCATTATGATTATTTCTTTTAATTTTAGCCATCTTGGGTGGTGTGCTCTACAATGTACTTCAATTTGCATTAGATTTTTTTGTATGTCACTGATTACTAATGAGCCCGACTCGGTTCTCATGCACTTATTAGGCAATTAGTTATTTTCTTTCATGAGCTGTCTACTGGTGATCTCCGCATATTTTTGTATTTAGTTGTCTATTATTGTTTGTGAAATACCTTTTAAATATTGTATTTACAAGGCTTCTGGCTGTTGTGTGTGTTCCAAAATCTCTTCCACATTACGTCTCTTTTCACTTTCTCCTTTTATTTGTTTGTACTTTGATACAAAGTCTCACTGTATAGCATTGGCTGGCATGGAATTTGCTATGTAGACCAGACAGAACTTAAATTCGCTGAGATCCTCCCGTTTCTGGCTCTGCCTTCTTATTGCTGGGATTAAAGGCCCGTACTACCACACCCAGCTCAATCGTGCTTTGTGATGAGCAGAAATTGCTAATTTAATGTAGCTAAACTCGCTGAAGTTTTCCTTATCCCTAGTGCCCTTTATTTCTATCGTATTCTAGTAAGATGTCTTTTTCTATCACAAGGACATAAATTTTTTTTTCAAGGAGCCATGCTGTTTTGTCTTTCATATGCAAGACATTATCTTTTATATCTAACTGATTCTGATCTATTTATGTACAACAATAATCTACTAATCATATCTAAAATGCCTTTCCAATTGATATCTATTTAGCTGATGAGGGGATTTTTTTTTTAAATCAATCAAGTGTTCTTTGTCAGAATCAGTTTACTTATGAGACTTGGCTACAAAGCTCTTCATTCTCTCTCTAGGTCCTCACTGTTACCTGGCTGTTACTTCCTTGTAGAACAATTCTTCCTACTATTTCTTTTAATTACAAGCATCTCTATCTTTCTCATCTTCTACATATTTAAAAACCAATATTAATGACATACCCTTTTACTTTTGATATGGATTTGTAATTCTTTTTTATAAATTTGGAGAGAGCTGCCATTTATGCAGGGGTAAATCTTCCAATTCATGACTGTGGTAGACCCCACTGACACAGGTCTATTGCTCTCTTTTTTTTCCATAAATTTCAGAGCTTTCGGCACACACACAAAAAAACCAGTGTAAGTTCTATTTATTAGTCTTCATTCATAGATACTTGATTTGCTCTCTTTTTTTCCCTCCAGTTCTGGGAGATCCAGATTCAATACCTCATGAAAGATGGTATCCAATTGCCCGGTGAATACATGACAAGGAACTCAGAGTCGCCAGTGATTAGTGAAGATGCTAGACAAGCCCTCCACCACTGACTCCATCCCAGCCCTCTGTTCTTTTCCTGACACTGCAGATGTGACCTTTTATTTGAAGTTTCTGTTTTGTGTTCACTATACTAACCCCAGTTGGTTCTTATTCATCCACATTTTATCTGGAACTTTGCTAAGGATTTATAGGCTCATTGAGATTGTCAAGACACATAGAAAGCCTTCTGTTTTGATTCCTATGCTGTCCTCTCTGGTACTTCTAGTTTAATTGTGTCTAAGAGCATTACCAACCAGCTAATTGTGTTGTCATTCAAATCTTTCATTCTCTATCTCAAAAGGAAAGCTTCCAACATTCCACCATTAGCCTGATGTCTGCAAAGTGTTTGGCGTGCTTTCTTTCACTGGGCTACCAAGTTCCTGCTACTTTTCCTTTGCTCACTGATTTTAAAACAATAAAAAAGTTTGTTTTACTGATGAGTGAATGTTAAATTTTATTGTATTTTAATCATATATTAAGATGACCATTTACATTATTCTCTTTTGTTCAATTACTGTGAATTAGAATAAATAAATTTGGAATATCAAATTGTGATGGTTTGAATGAGAATGACCCCTTGGGCTCTTATGTTTGAGTACTTGGTCTCCAGTAGATGGAATTGTTTGGGAAGGATTAGGAGGTGTGGCTTTTTTGGAGCTGTATCTCTGGGGTTAGGCTTCAAACTTTCTGAAGCCCACACCATTTCAGTTGGCTCTCTCTGTCTCGTGGTTGTTGTCTCAACATGTAATCTCTCAGCTGCTGCTCTAGCATCATGCTTGCTGTCATGTTCCCCACTATCATTGCCATGGACTCTAAGCAACCTCTGCAACTATAAGCAAGCCCCAGGTTAAACTCTTTCTTTAATAAGTTGCCTTGATCATAGTGTCTATTTGAACTTGTTGGTTTTCTTTCTTTATGTTGTTGATTTCATCTGGTAGGGTTTTCTTTAAATGTTTACTACTATATTTTCAATGAGATTGCTGATAGATTTTTTTTTTAAATTCCCAGTTACTTGAGACAAGATCTCACATAACTCAGGTTAGCCTCAAACTCACTAGGCAGCTGAGAATGTTCTTGAGTTCCTAAACCGTCTTTTCTTACCCCCTAAGTACTTGGACCCTATTCCTGTGCCACCACACTGGCTAAGTTGCTTTTTGGTCCATTTTCTGTAATGTTTCTATGAAGATTATTTTGTCACATAAAATTTACTTTTGCTTCATCTTTGTTTTTTGGAAGAATTTGCTGAAGTTTGGTTGTTTCCCTTAAATTGCCAGGCAGACTCAAGCCTCCACCATTGAAGCAACTTGAGTCTAGAAATGCTTTCCTTGAGAGACTTTATACTAACTTGATTTCTTTAATCATTTTATGAAACTATGTTCAATATTTTCTCATTCCAATTTTAAGATGTATTTCTCCTAGGAATTTTTCCATTTCATCAACCTTTCAAACATACTGTCATAAAACTATTCAGGCTCTTCGTAGTCCCTCTTTAATGTTTGTATGATGAATCAATGTGTCATCCTCTTTGTTCCTGACATTGTTTCTTTTTCTTGCTTTCATCAGCCTTGCCAAAGATTTATTAAAACTTGAGCTCTTCAAAGAAATAGTTTTTGGCTAAGTTTTTCCTCTCTACTTTGTGCTTGTTACTATTTCATTAACTTCTGCCCTTGTTTTTATTACTTCTTCCCTCTTATTCTCTTAGCTTTTAATTTGCTGGGCTTTCTATTTTTTTTTAAACTGAGTACAAGATGATTGCTTCCATCACTGATTTTAAGAATGCTTTTTAATTTTTACTATGTATATTTAAACTATCATTTTACCTTTAAACATTTTTGGCCTCATCTTATAAAATTTAATTTATTGTATTCTAATAATCTCACAGTTAAATATCTCATTGTTTTATTGGGATGAATTTTGATAAGATTTTTTTCTAAATTATCAATATAAAATTGTATTTTGCATTTTTAAGTAATTTATTTATAATCTATGTCCTTTGTAGCTAAAATATGTGCTTACAGTGCCAAGTTTTAAACACCTATTAAGACTTGATTTTTGGCCCCACACATGAGCAGGTTTTCAAATAACCTAGAAACACCGGAAATTTTTCTGTACTCTTGGTTTGAGACTTTGGTGTTTATTTATCCTTTTTACTAAGTTTACACTTGATTAAAAGAGCTCATATTCTTACTGTCTTCTTGAGCCACATTTTTTAGCAGTCACTAAAAGAAGTGAATTAAACATCTTTTCCTGTAATCGTGGCTTATCTATTTTCCTTGTTGCTCTAGCTGTTGAGGCCAGGTGCACATAGTTTTAGAATTGCTCGTTTTCTCCCCAGGGAACTGAGAGCTTGATGTGTCTTCCTTAGTAATGATTTTTAAATTTGAAGCACACCTTATCTGATCATAATATAGACCTAATAGTTTCTCTTTTGTTCACATTTGCATATGTTACTTCCTAATTGTTTTTCTTTCAATATTTCTGCAGCTTATGTTTCAGTATGTGTCTCCTATCAACAGCAAATGCTTGGAATGTTAAGCATCCAGTCTGACATATCTTTGTCTTTTAATTGGAGCATCTGGCACATTTACATGTAATACAATGGCTGCTGCGTTTGAGTTTAAATCTACTGTCTCATCATTTGCTTTCCACTGCCTTGCCTGTTCACTTTTCTATTTTTTGTCTGTTTTGGGACAGATATTTGAAGGTAGAACCAAACAAAAAATGTACAGTTCCATGATTTTTTTTCACTAAGTCAAGCTAGAGGGCATCTCTGTGAACTCAGAAAGTTCTTTGCATTTCTCTCCAGTCAGTCTCCTCACAGCTCCAGGCTTTCTGTGAATGTTATTTTACTTGCTCATCTTGATTATTCTAGAATGGCACTTGAATGATACTCTTTTTATGTGACCAGCTTTTCACAAGGCACAATGTTTGAGATTTCTTTGTGTATGGTGCATTGAATGCAAATTCTTCCCCCACAGATTCATGTTTGGAGTGCTTAGTTCCAAGCTGGTGGCCCTATTTTAGAAGTTTCTGAAAATTTTAGTAGAAGGGACCTATTTGGAAGAAGTAAGTCCCTGGGCTAAAGAAGTGCCCTTGAAGGTTATATTGGTTCTTAGTCCCTCCATTTTCTCTGCTTTCTGTCTATCATAAGGTGAAGAGCCTCCTCCATCACCATGATATTCTGCCCCAGATCATGGGACCAACCTCACAGACTGAATCTCCTGAAGCTGAAGATAAGCACTTATGAGTGCTCAGCCATATACATAAAGCATCCATGTCTAATCCCAAGAAAAGTTGACCTCTGGGCATGGCATGGTTGTTATACCCCTGAGCTCAAAGCAGCTGTGGTTATTGGCACAAGACCTCTGTAAGAAATAGGAGTTTAAAACCTGAGGAGCTAATAGCAGTTGATAGCTGCTGAGGGAAATTCAGTTTACTTTGAGTGGGCTTGGGAGGGGACATTAATAGGTCGCCATTGCTTCAGTGTATGAAACCATCCTCATGCCCTTTATATAGGTCCTGTGTAAGAGTTTTGTTGTTATGGAGACATCCAATACATATCCTCCTAGTCTGTGGCTTTCTCATGCATTCTCTCCTAGTGTGGCTTTCTTAGACATTGTTTTCATGGTATTTTAGCTCAGCAAAATGACAAGGTTTGACCTCTCAGTTTTGAGGGTTTTATTCTTGTATGTCATCTAAAACGTCTATCTACAGTCAAATGACAAGTATTCCCTTTTAGGACTTGTGAGATGGCACTGCAGTTGGAAGCATGTACTGTTCTTCCAGGGAACAAAAGTTCAGTTTCTAGCACCCAGGTCTGGTGGCTCAATAGTATCCTTAATGCCCATTTAGGGGATTCTCAGCCTCAGGCCTCCATGGGCATTGTATTCACATGTGCATATCCATGCACATACACATAATTAAAACTAAAATACAACTTTAAATATACTTATGTGTTTACTTCTAAAACTCCTATCATTTTAGCTTTAACTCTATGAACCATCTAAAATTAGTTCTTGTGTATCGCACAAAAGAAACTTTATGCTATGGGTATATGTTTCATATTTTTCTTTATGAATAATTAATTCAGTAGCATATGGTGAAAGAATATACTTGTAGCGTTGTCAAAGACTGATTAAACGGAAGTATGTGGGTCTATTTCTAGATTCTTTCTTTTACTTTATTGATTACCTTGCTGATTCTAACTACAATATCAGTCTGTTGGGATGGCTTGATTGTAGCCTTATGTGGAAAACAGTTCACTATGCAGATGACTACAACCAAACACATAGGTCTCCTCCCATGAAGAGGTAGAGCTTATTCCTCTAGTCCTTAATTATTTTGACTAATAAAACATGACAAAATATTTCTGTGTGACTCATTAGATTGGCCAAAAGAAACCTCAAGGCTTTCTACATTTGTGTCTTAGAAATTTCCCCCTAGACTAAATCAGGGCGTGTGTAAGCCATCTGATTGTCTAAGCACTACTCTGCTCTCAGGAAACGGAGCTCTGTACAAGATAGGCTAGCTGGAGGGAGAGCTACTGGCCACTTCTGCCCAGACCCAGACATGTCTGTACACGACTATCCAGACTTGAATGACCAGAAGTTTGTGAAAAGCTATCAGCAAAGGACAACCACCAACCGTGAGTCCATGCGGTCTATGGGACTATGGAAGATGGTAGTTGTTGGGAAGCAACTAAGTTTTGCTTTCGCTTACAATATGGAAACTAGAACAATGGAGTATTAGAAAACAGCCCAGATGCTGAGAGCTTGGGCTCAAATTCTGTATGTAAAGATGTGTAAACATTTTCCCACTTGGCAATCGGAGAGCTAAGCAGTTTGCATACAATTTGTTTCTTTGCTCAATATTTTTTAAAGAATCTAGGACAAAGCGTATGTTTAGGAGGTAGAAATGAGAACACAGTTCTCTCTCAATGAATCTGCAGATTGCTGGACACTGGAAAGACCTGTTCACTGCAGAGACTGTCATGAAAGTCACTTTGTGTTGGTCATAGTTAGTATATAGAAAACCCTAAGTAAAATAGCTCTGTTGAAATGGATTCACACAAAATTGATAGAAACAAAACTTCGCAGTGGAACCAGCATCCTTTCCTACTGGCTGCCGCAAAAGTCTGACCTGAAAGTCATAGTCACCCCCTGTCATCTCTGATACTCACTCACTCCTCCTTCAACGCAGTTCCCAAACTTTTACTTATAATTTAAGAGTGTCGTATTATAATGTCTTAAATTCTCCCGAGGAGTAAGTTGGGGTGAAATCATGAATAAAATATACATCCAATCAAATTGGAAGTATAGTTAGGGATCAGAGTGGTTCCTAGCCTTGTTTTGTGTGCTTGGGTCAGTCTCTGCAGAGAGCATGACCTG